ACAATGGGAGATTAATTGTATAAGCTTTGAGTCCATCCCAGCTTCTTTGAGAGTTTACTGCAGGAAGTCCTATCTAATGCGATCAAATGCTTTCCAAATCAACCTTCATCGCAAAGAAACCCTTCTTCTTTTTTGTCTTTTTCATGATGTGTAGTATTTCTTGGCCAATGATGATGTTATCTTGGATATGCCGTCCAGGGATAAAGCTAGATTGAAATGGTGATATGAGATCATTCATAACCCTCTTCAATCGTTGATTCAGGATCTTCGTGATACATTTGTAATGCACAGTGCAAAGGGAGATTAGTCTAAAATGGCTCACAAGGGAAGGATTATCTCTTTTTGGGATTAAAGAGATCAGAGTTTTATTTGCCTCAGCTAGAGAGATATTACCATCAAACACAGCAGAAATAAAGGAGTAGATTGATGAGCCGACTACATCCCAGTTAGATTGGAAGAAAATTGGTGAGAATCCATCATAACCGGGGGCTTTGTAGGGACCCATGAAGAAGAGGGCATTTTTAACTTCCTCAAGAGTGGGAGGCAGAGCAAGGTTTCCCAGTAACTCAGAATCTCTTTGTGGAAAAGAGGTTTTGGTGGAGAGCCAAACTGAGTTGGTGTCAGTTAATTGGTAAATACCTTTGAAGTAATTTGAAACCAATTGTTATAAGCTAGCTTCGTCCTCAACCCAGTTCCCTGAACTATCTTTAAGAGTAGAGACCCGGTTCTTCCTTTTCGTAAATTTATTTTGAGATGATAGTATCGGGTATTGCGATCACCTTTGGTAATCCAATCTGTATTAGCTTTTTGGAACCACTTGGTTTCTTCCATTTTAAGGATTTCTTGTAACTCAGTTACAACTCCAATTCTAAATTTATTAAAAAATTAGAGTATAGAAAGGAGTCAGATTTTTGAATACCATTATCCTTGCCAAGATGTGTTTTTTCTTTTGCTCTACCATACCAAAAACATTTTTATTCCAGTCAAGGAGAGAATTTTAAAAGTTTTCAAGATTCCAGGGGAGGCAGTTTTGGGCAAACCAATGTTCTCTAAGTAGAGTGTCAAAGGAATTGTGAGAAAGTCACATAGCTTCAAAATGAAAGGGTTTAGAGTTTGTATAGATGCAAACCTTCTACTCGTCTAAATGTGAATGGGGTTATGATCGGAAAAATCAGTTCTAGGCAAGACTCTTACCATACAATATGGGAATTCAGAGAGGAAACTGCTGTTTGCTAGAGCTCGATCGAGTCTTTCGTAGAGCCTGGAATATCCGGATATACATGGTCCTTTCCAAGTAAATTTTGGACTTGAACTGCCTAAATCAATTAAGGCACAAGCATCCATTTTATTCTGGAACCAGTAAAGGCGAGAGTGAGAAACACCAGCGCCTCCAATTCTTTCAGAGCTAGATGCAATATCATTAAAATCTCCAAGAACAATCCATGGGTCTTTAATGGAGGAAGCAAAGGTGAGCAATTTTCCCCAGAGAATTTCTCGAAAATTTGAATGAGGAAGAGCATAAACAGAGGTGATGAAGATTGGAGTGTGGTCTTTGGTTGCACAAGAAAAATGAATGAATTGGCGATCAATTTATAAGGGCGTGATTTGTAGAAGGTTGCTATTCCAAGCAATAACCAAACCACCAGACCTACCTACACTGTTACTTAAAATCAGAGAGTCAAAGCCGAGACGCTAAAGACAGAGGAGACGAGCTTCTTGGTCACAGCGAGTATCTGCCAGAGCAATTAAGGTGGGTTTAGGCCCATTGAGGATAAGTTTGAGGTTGCGTAGGAGGCCCTTTCCACAAGCACCTCGTACATTCCAGTAAACTAGGCTGATCATCAAGATAATTGTGATGGAAATAAGAGCACGATTAAAGCCCAGAGGGGAACTGGGTTTCAGGCACAACTGAGTCCAAAGACTGACCACTTGGATTTGGGCTTTCCTGGGACATTGGGCAAGGTCCAAGTGGATCTCCAGGATCTAAATCTTCCTTCGAATTTTCCTTCAGGTTATCATCAAGAGGGCCTTCGTCCATTGCTTCTAGGGAAAGATTTGAGTGGTCTCTACACTGTGGTGTTTCCTCGGTAGACATTCTGACATCGGTTTCCCAAGTAAGCATTAGAATTTCATTGCTTTTTATTTGCTCTCCCAGCATATCTCTTATACGTTTCTCGACGCGGTGCTTTTGGGTATATTCCTGCATTCCAGCTTCTCTTTGCTCGTTTAAGTTAGACACTTTCTATTAATTGAGGCGTTATGGGCAGCTATATCATCCCAATTGATAACCTCCTCCGTACTCTTTGCATTAATCATATTTGCTTTCCTATTTTTCTTTTGCTTTTGACTTCTCGGGTAGCCCACCTTTTCAGAGTTTTCAGCTACGTGCATGGCCATGAACTGTACGGCTCTATCTGTTCCTTTCTCTAGTGTCTCTCCTTCTTCAGCTAATGCTTCGAAACGTGAACCTGATACTGCATGGGAGTTGTGCTCAGCTGTTTTCTCTTTCCCCTTCCGTTGCCGGCGAGGCTTTTGAACGATGGACCATTTTTTGGGCTGCTCCACCGTGTTTGCTTGTTGGCTCTCGACGTTTGCTTCAGCAGGGGCATTTGGTTGTTCTGCTTTATCTTCTTGCAAGGAGCTTTGGTTTTTTGAAAGGCAGATTTCTGCTCTATGACCATAGAAGCCACAGTTAGTACATAGCATATGTAGACCTTCATATTCTAAGTAATAATCTTCCCCATCCAGTTGAAACCCAGACATTAACTGCTTGCTTAGATCAATCAAGATGCAAATCCTTGCAAAGTGACCCCTGAGTTGGCATGAAGTGTGAAGATCAACCTTTATAGTCTGTCCAATCCTGTTACCTATAAGCGTGAGAGCCTCATTGTCATAATATTCAAGGAAAACTTTTGGCACTCTGACCCAGCAAGCAACCTTGTCGATGGTAGCACTTTGAGGTTTGAATTTCGGCTCCCATGGTCGAACGGTAAGATAATGATCATAAATCATCCAGGGCCACCTGTGAGGGCATTGAAGTAGTCTTCTTTATTTGAAAGTTTGACGACAAAGAAGCCATAACCAATATTTATTAGTTTGATAACGCCTTTTTTTGCCCACATCATTTGCAACCTTGACTCTAAAGCTTTGAAGCCAATATTCCTATCCAGGAGTTGCACAATGACTGCCTTTTTCCATGTCTTATAAAGCCGCTTCTTAAAGTTTTCTGAGAAGATAAAAGTTGGGAAGTTCTTCTTCTCGTTCTCAAAAGTCGTAACATGTGGTACATTTGGGTCCGAACCAGTTGCCTCATTTTGATCATCATCTGAGTTGATGTCGTCTTCCTCTTCTTCAGTGTCACCATCCAAGGGGTAGTCCCTGATGGTTCCTTTGAGCTTATCCGTGAAAGTTTGCCTGCTTGGAGGTTGAGAATGAATTTTTGTACCCAGCATTGGCCAGTCACCCGGTAGAGGAGTCGCATCTTTGCTTAGAACATTTTTGATCTTTTTTGAACTTCTTGCAAGTTGATCGTTCTCTTCTTCCGTTTGTGCACGACGAGGTTGGTGAGAAGGGAGCTTGGAGGGAAGCAAGAGAGCCATCAAATAATGTTTCTTACTTATGTCTTGGGTGGTTGTGTCCTGAATATGATATTTGCCTTTTGAGAACACGCACCCAAAACAGTTTAGGTTCAGAAACAAGTTTATGAACAAGCTTAGACCAGAAAGCCTTATTCTGGGCTTCTAGGTTAATAAGACCACAACCACCATGCTTGATTGGCTGACAACGATCCTTCCAATTTATCAAGCTAATGCCATGACGATCCTCAGAATACCCCCATATAAACTTTCAAAAGAGCTTTTCAGTTGTTCTACGACATCCAATAGGAAGTGTAGTGTTCTTCATGGCATATAAAGGAACAGATGATAGGACATAGTTGGCTAGCATAATGTGTTCGGCTAAGGAAATAGATTTATTTCCAACCAGCCAATTTTTTATGCAGCCTGTCAATAATGTACCTATAAGTATTGGTGATGGCACACCAAGGTAGCGACCAAGGGACTTTGATTTTTGGAAACCCACGTTCTGGTAAATATCAGTACTAGTACACATGGGAACTTTTTAGAGAAATAAACCTGGGTTTTAGATCTGCTAACAGTCTGCCCAGAAGAATGGCTTAAGACTGTAACACTCTCTTGACAATGTCAATCTAAGAAGTGGATGTGTCACCAAATAAAACCAAATTGTCTGCAAAAAATATCGTCTATAAAAAATAAGTGAAACAATGGAATGCCTTTACTCTCCATTTTGATCGTATGCCAATTTTTCTTTTTGACCTTGGCTATAACAGCTGGAGACAAACATTCCATACATGAGACAATTATATATGGTGATAGTGGGTCCCCTTTGTCTAATACCCCTCATTGGAGAAAATGAAGAGGAGGATTTCCTATTCCACAAAACCTACATTGAAGAGGTGGTAAGGCAGGGCATTATGAATTTCATAAATAAAGTCCAACATCCTTCAGTGTCTCCTTGATAAATTCCCACCTCATTTTGTCAAAAACCTGCTCCAAGTCAACTTTGATAGCCATCCAACTATATTACTATTTTTCTTCCTCATAAAGTGTATAACTTCATGGGCTATAATTTTATTGTCAATAATATTTCTGCCTTGAATAAAACTAGTCTGATAAGGCATCACAACGTCAAGTAAAAGAGACTTGAGACTATTGGCAATCACTTTACTTATTATTTTTCAGACAACAAAATAAAGGCTGACGGGGTGAAATTCCTTAATATATTGGGGTTCACACTCGCTTTAGGAATTAACGCCATAAAAGTTCGATTGAGAGCCGGATCAAGACTGCCCCACAACCATAAATCTGACCAGATTGAAAAGAGCAACTCCTACTTTCCCGTTGGTTTTGGAAGAGTGTAACCCATCAAGCCCACGTTATTCCATTTTTTGAACATTATTTTTTAAAACTCAGCATCACACGAGTTCTCAACAGAAATTTTACACGTGAAAAGAGTAGTGTGGGCCATAAATCAAACCCCCCCAGGATAACCAAATAAATACAGCTGGAGGATCGCATGATTTGTGCAGAATTCGTAATGACAGAACTAGAGTAAAACGTATTCAGTACTTAAAAACTCTGCTGGTTTCGCTTTACATTATGCAGATATTCAAATCGATAAACTATGTACTTCAATATTAAGAAGGTCGCCTTCCAACTCAATTTGCTACCATTGCTGTCATACAAATGAAAGATCACGATCGTCAATTCCAAGCAAGCAATGCGGCAAACGTCCTCGTTGTGTTTAAAAATATTTCTCATTCTCACCCTGAACAGGTCACAAACATGTCCTCCCATGAGCTGTGCAGCAGCAGCTCCCTCTTGATGTTTCTCCTTTGCCAAAACAAAAAAAAAAAAAAAAAGATATCTGCAAGTAACCACAAATACAGCTCTCAAAATATAAAATATACTTCAGGCCAGCAGAAAAAAACAAACTGACTGAATTACTCAAAGGAAGAAGAATGGTTCCGCAAAAATTCATGAAATAGATACCTGACTATCTGTACGGCTCATTTCTTAAACACCAAAATTGGTCTATTGAAACCAGTCTTGGTCCCTGACAATTCAGAAGTAATATCTTCTGCGGTTCTGAATCCAATCTGAAAACAAGTCCAAACATCAAAAATTTTAGTAAAATAATAATTAATTGGAGGGGGAAAATACAAGTTTCCTCTCTCCGTGGTTTGGCCTGTCTTGGCTTGCCACCTCAAGTGTTACCCAGCTTGCTTTATCATATAAAATCCCTCATTCTTTTCTCCATGTCTACAAAATGCAAGTGACTGTCACAAGCATGCTAAACCATTCAAGTAAATCATTCCGAAAAAAGCAGGTTGCAATGTCTCATCATCATACTTAACAGAAAGAAGCTCCCTCATCCAGTCTCGGTTTCCCAGTACACTTGAAATTCTTTTCCTGACACTTTCTCGCCTTCTCTCACCATCTCATTGGATCACCAGCTAAATCTCCATTTCTTTCCATTTTGCAAACAAGGCCTCGCTATTCATCAATATTCTTCAGGTTTCCCTGAAATTCTACAACTTCCTCAGGGGAACGTTCACCCATTAGTTACATTTTTTCTTGATTTTGTTAATCATTTAAACTTGACTAAAAATAACAGCGCTAACATCTAAGGCAAAGATCCACCAATTATCCGTGTTCAGAATTCATGAAGAACAGACACTTCAAACATAAGCTAAGGCCCTTAGCTTGTGAACTGAAACTAGGAAGGTCTGGAATTAATGAGAACTGGTGAGATGACGGCATCCTCTGTTGTCGCATAGGTCTTCTTAGCTTATTTTAAAAATTTTAGTTTGCATTTGTACTTCAAATTCGGAATTCACAACGTAGGGCATGAAAGTTTCACATAATCCTGCATGATAAGTTGTTCTAAGGCACAAGGGACATCTAAACCATGCTCAAGGTAATTTCTTCAGAGTGAAAGTATTCCCTTATCTCCCTGCATTTGGGAGTTTCCCTTCCCTCGTTCTTCTTGTGTTCATTTTTACATCGAGCATTGGGTTTGTCATGTCCAAAAGCCATTACCCAACGCTTTGGAAATTTCAAGTGCTTTGGATACCAGATCATTCTGGAAATGTATATTTTGGATTCAATAATAGTTTGATAGATGGATAGAAAAATTGACCAGACATCCACCCTCTGTCATTCCTACTTATTGAACCACAGGAACAGGATGGCAAAGAAAATAGACCAAACCACATGGAGGAGACACTAATTTACTCTATTAATTAAGCTCAACAACAAGAGAACTAGTTATTTATTAAACCAACTTTAAAAACAAAAAGCACCACGAAGTAACAATTCATCCAAACCTTGTCCAATAGTATTTCCTGAAACTGTTCTGGACGAAACATAATGTTACGGTAGTTGATAGAAGTAGTCTACATATTAGATGAAAAGATAAGGAGTTAGTGGCACATAAGAACAAATACAATTAACAGCATAATTAAAAACAATATATAGGCATTGATAATGGAAATAGAAGTTCTGCAATCCTTTTCCAGGCTCTAGTGACAGTCCAAACAAGAAACAAGCGTGAATAGAAGTGAAGATGAAAACTGATAGCATGCTGCGTCAACGTCAATATCCACTATTGACGTATAAGAGAAGAAAGGGGAGGAAGTTAGAGCAGAATTAAGTTGCTTTTTATTTAATTAATTCATTTTCAGTAGTTGGCTAAATAAGTGGATCAACTTTTGATCATGTTTAGTTTGTTGAGTCAATTTCTGTTTGAGTCAGTTATTATCCCAGATATGTTGGGATATTTTCTTACTATTTATTTATTATTTTGCTGTAATTTCTGCATTATAAATGGACTAGCTTCTATCATAGCTAGACATTGAGAAAATAAAATACGATTTCTCCTGGAGATTTTCCTACTTTGGCTATTAAATATTTTTAGAGTGAGATTCTTACTCTAATTTATTTAATAGATTTATTTGCTTTCTTTAGTTCTTAACAATTTGGTATCCGAGCCTGGTTCGATCAACATGGTGACCACACGCTCCGGTAACGAAACCATCGATCCCAACGCCACTTCCTCCAATAGCCCCTCACGCAATGAATCTGTAGTCAATCCATTTTCAAGAGATCCATTATCAGCAATCGCCTCCAAATTAGAGACACTTGATTTGTTGAAAGAGAAGATAGAGGCCCTTGAGGCTTCTGCAACAAGTAGAGGCAAGCGAACCATGGAGTCACTATAGGCGCTCACACTGGGAAGATGATAGTGAAGATGATCATGACCGAAGGCGCCCACGTCCACCCTATACAAAAATTGAATTTCCAAAATTTAGCGGAGGAGATCCCCGAGGATGGATTTTAAAGGCTGAAAAATTTTTTCGATATTATCAAACACCGGAAGATTCGAAAGTTGATGTTGCTTCAATAAGTCTAGAAGGAGATGCTTTGGATTTATTCTCATGGGTAAATTCAGAACGTACCTTGTTGTACTAGGATGAGTTGGTCAAGACATTACAAGAGCACTATGGGCCTCCTGAATATCAAAATCCGGACGAGCACCTTGCGACCATCAAGCGAACTGGATCGGTACAGGAATACCGTCAAGAATTTGCTAGGCGGGTAGCACGAGTTCGCAACTGGCCAGAGCACTGCCTCTTAGGTATTTTTCTGGGTGGCCTTAAGGAAGAATTAAAAGCTGATGTACGCATTCAAAAACCTAGAACAGTGTTTAAAGCTGCAAGTTTGGCCCTGGAATTTGAAAAAAAAAACTCAAAATTCACGTGGGCCCAGGCCCAATTCTTCATACTCCCAAAATCGCCCAAATCAGTCCCAATTTGCACGTGATTTCCGCGATTCCAGAGACTCCCTCTCACTAGCTTCGTCTGCGTATCCCTCCCGACCAGCTCCTTCGGCCTCGACCACTCCTAAAAACTCCTCAACAGCCGCGAGAATCTCTCCCGAAGATGCGGAACATCAAAACCGGCGAGATAAGGGTCTGTGCTTCCGGTGTGGGGCTATTTTCCGACCTGGGCATCGCTGCAATGCTTCTTTTTCTTTGCTGGAAATTTCTGAAGAAGGTGAAGAAATTCTAACTCCCCTACACGAAGGAGCCGAGACAAAAATGGAACCAGAGGGGGCCGAAATCTCATTTAATGCGATTCTAGGACAGCATTCGGCAACCACAATGAAACTTCAAGGCACGCTCAAGGGTCGCACTGTCCTGATTTTAGTTGATAGCGGCTCCACGCACAATTTCATCTCAGACACAGTGGTATCCGAATTGCAGCTCCCCGTGCGGACGGTTCCAACTTTTGGAGTTCAAATTGGTAATGGTAGTAGAGTGAAATGCCATCAAGTTTGCCTAAAGGTTGAGGTAACAATTTTTGATTTAACTATTCAGCAAGATTTCTACCCGTTCTCCTTAGGTGGTTCTGATTTGGTACATATTAAATGGTTGGCGTCACTGAACACTGTGCAAGCTAATTGGAACAAAATGTTTATGATTTTTTGGCTAAATGGGAAGAAATATAAGCTGCAAGGCCTACCTACTAACAATGATGTTTCGGTCCATCTCCATAGCATGCTTCTTACTCAGGAATCAAATGAGAAGAACACATCAGGACACTTGAATATTGACAGAATTTTTCATGATTTTGCTGATGTCTTTTCTGAGCCAGGGTGCCTGCCACCACCCCGAGATCATTACCATGCCATCAAGCTATTCCCAAATGCTACACCTCCTAATCTACAGCCATATCGTTACCCTCATTACCAGAAGGATGAGATTGAAGCTCAAATTGAGAGCTTGCTACAAAGTGGATTCATACGACCTAGCACCAGTCCTTTTGCCAGTCCTGTGCTACTCGTTGGCAAAAAGCATGGTTCGTGGCGCCTTTGCATTGACTACAGGCGTCTTAATCAAATCACCATACTAGATAAGTACCCTATTCCCAATATTAATGAACTCTTAGATGAATTGCATGGGGCTGTCTACTTCTCAAAATTTGATTTACGATCTGGATATCATCAAATCCGGGTTCTACCGGAGGATGTACACAAAACAGCTTTTCACACTCACTCAGGCCACTATGAATTTTTAGTTATGCCATTTGGTTTAACTAACGCACCAGCTACCTTCCAATCTATTATGAATGACTTATTCAGGCCTTATTTACGGAAATTCGTGTTGGTATTTTTTGATGACATCTTAGTGTACAGTGCTTCCCCCCAACAGCATTTACAACATTTGACCACAGTATTTCAGATTCTACAGAAGCAATCCTTCTTTGCCAATGCAAAAAAATGCTCGTTAGGCCAGACTCAAATTAGCTACTTGGGCCATATGGTTTCTGCCCAAGGGGTTGAAGTGGATTCTGAGAAAATAACTGCAATAGTGCAATGGCCTGCTCCCAAATCTGTAAAAGAGCTCCGTGGGTTCCTAAGGCTCACTGGTTATTACAGGCGTTTTGTCAAAAACTATGGTATTATCGCTAGACCCTTGACTGAACTAACCAAGAAAAATTCTTTTTATTGGTCTGAACAGGCACAAAAAGCTTTTGAGGCATTAAAATTAGTAATGACCACCACACCGGTGTTGCAATTGCCAAACTTTCATCTTCCTTTCACCATTCAATGTGATGCTTCAATGGAGGGTATTGGTGCTGTCCTAGTTCAAGAAGGACATCCAATATCTTATTTCAGCAAGGGATTCTCTTTTTCCAACAGGTATAAGTCCACATATGACAGGGAGATATTGGCTCTAGTGCTTGCAATTCAAAAATGGCGCCACTACCTACTTGGTTGTCATTTCTATGTCCAAACTGATCACTGCAGCCTTAAGTACCTCTTGGAACAGAACACCCTCACCAATTCCCAGCAGCGAATGATGCTCAAGCTTCTTCCTTTCAATTTTACCATCATATACAAAGCAAGAAAGGACAATACAGCAGCTGATTCACTATCACGAAGGCCTCAACATGCTGATTTTTTCCAGATTGTCATCCCTTTAGCAGATGCCTTACAGCAACTCCCTACAGCATTAATGACAGACCCTGAAACCAAAGCTATTGTGGATGCATTACAAACAAATCCACAATCTCACCCAGATCACAGCTTGGTGGAAGGCATATTATATTTCAAGGGACGACTTGTGATTCTAAATGATGCTCAATTACGAGCTAAATTTTTGGAAGAAGCACATGCGACTCCAACAGGTGGTCATGGAGGGTTCCTAAAGACCTTGAAGCGATTAGGATTAAGTGTGCATTGGCGAGGTATGAAAACAGATGTTAAACATTTTGTACAAAGATGTTTAATTTGTCAACAACATAAATATGAAACTCTTGCTCCTGTTGGACTCCTTAACCCACTCCCTATTCCGAAGCGCATTTGGGAGGACATTTCTCTTGACTTTATCACAGGGCTCCCAAAGTCTAGAGGTTTTGATGTTATCTTGGTGGTGGTTGATCGGCTCAGTAAATACAGCCATTTCATTGCTTTGTCACATCCTTATTCTGCAAAAACTGTGGCTGGTTTATTTTGTCAAGAGATTGTACAGTTGCATGGTATTCCTCGGTCAATCGTTTCAGATCGTGACACCATTTTTCTAAGTGCTTTTTGGCAAGAACTTTTTCGCTTGAGCCAGACACGCTTAAACATGAGTACAGCTTATCACCCACAATCCGATGGCCAAACCGAGGTAGTAAATCGTTGTTTGGAGACCTATTTACGATGCTTTGCTCATGAGCAACCTAAATTATGGAGTAAATTTCTCTGCTGGGCTGAATTCTCATTTAATACCAGCTTTCACTCCTCAGCAAACACTACTCCATTTAAACTGGTTTATGGGCGTGATCCTCCTCCTTTGTGCCCTTATGTTAAGGGAGAAACATTAGTTGCAGATTTAGAGGAGCAACTGGAGCTACGTGATGCCATGCTTAAAGTACTACGTGATAACTTAAAAGAAAGCACAAGATAGGATGAAAGCACAAGCAGATCAGCATAGGCGGGACCTTCAATTTCAACCAGGGGATGCAGTTTTTCTACGTCTTCAACCTTATCGCCAAAAGTCCTTAGCTAAACGTAAGAACGAAAAATTGTCCCCCCGATTTTTTGGACCTTATACAGTTGTGAGGCGTATTGGAACAGTTGCTTATGAGCTTGACTTGCCTCTTGAGTCTAAGGTGCACCCTATTTTTCATGTCTCCCTACTTCGGCCTGCTCATGGGCAGCAACCATCTTCACCACCAGCACCTTTACCTCTTTCTGCAAATCTGGAGCTCCTCCTTACGCCCTCAAAGGTACTGAATCACCGCTGGACACCAGGAGGTATTCTGGAAATTTTAATTCAATGGGATGACCGTCCTCTTGAAGATGCAAGCTGGGAAGACTATGATTTAATAGCCATTCAATTTCCCACTTTTCGACTTGAGGACAAGTCTATTTTTCAGGAGGGGGGTACTGATAGCATGCTGCGTCAATGTCAATATCCACTATTGACGTATAAGAGAAGAAAGGGGAGGAAGTTAGAGCAGAATTAAGTTGCTTTTTATTTAATTAATTCATTTTCAGTAGTTGGCTAAATAAGTGGATCAACTTTTGATCATGTTTAGTTTGTTGAGTCAATTTCTGTTTGAGTCAGTTATTATCCCAGATATGTTGGGATATTTTCTTACTATTTATTTATTATTTTGCTGTAATTTCTGCATTATAAATGGACTAGCTTCTATCATAGCTAGACATTGAGAAAATAAAATACGATTTTTCCTGGAGATTTTCCTACTTTGGCTATTAAATATTTTTAGAGTGAGATTCTTACTCTAATTTATTTAATAGATTTATTTGCTTTCTTTAGTTCTTAACAAAAACACACACAGTGACGGGCCCCTAACTAATGAGCCAAGCTTGCATCTGACATATGTGCTGTGTAAAGGCTGTGAGGTGTGAGCTGGAAGACAGAGAGAGAATTAGTGTGAGAGAGATTTAAAAGGGAGGTTTGAGAGTAAGGAAGAATTCAGTATGGTGTAGCAGAGTCTCTAGCCTCCCAAATGCCAAACGACTGAAACAAGTGACTGAGTTTTTTGTTTCTGCATTTTCTGCGACTGATTTTGTAGTATTTCCTGAGATTAAGCATTCATTCCTTGCACTGGTTTGAGGTTAAACTCAGCTTTTATTCACAAATAATGCAATTACAGCCTTGGTTCCATCACACAGATAAGATCATCCCATCCATACACCAAAATTGAGCTTTGCTGTGCTAGAAAATCTGAATGAATGCAAGAGAAGTATACCATTCATATAACAGTTTAGATCAAACAAACCCCGAGACAACCAAAAAAAGTATGAAGCAAAACCATTGATACATTTAAGGAAACCTAGAATCATTAAGTTAGGGAGCCTGTAGTAATTATAGAGGCTTTCATAGCCCTTCAGAGTGAAAACAAAAACATAGACAAGGGCAAGTAAGCAAGCAAATTATTACCTCTGAGACAAGACGATTACTTTCATACGATTTCCATGGTTGAGGTTCCAATACAAGCACACCACCCTGATCACAATAAGAAGTATTTATTATCATATGCAACACTGCAATCTGAACTAAAGGATGAGAAAACAATCAGTCACAAAACCAGACCTGCCTCTTATATAAATGAGAAAAACAACCAGAAACACAAACTTCAATTTCAATTGATAAAATGCAAAGGTGAAAAAGTGAAAAAAATAATTTGACTGGAGGAGACAACACTTACTGGTCGAAGCATTTTCCAAATCCTTGCAAATAAAGTGAGCAAGCCATCATCCCCCCAATTGAGCTGTATCCATTTTGTTACACTCATGCTGCGTTGCAGGAGGTGTAAGTCAACTTACCCATTTTTAGCCACTTTGTAATGATTGAAAATAAATAAAGTTTCTTAGTACATGATAAGGGAAGTCCATCCATTAAAATATACAGGCACAATACAATCTGGGCATTAAGAAGCAGACAATATTACAATACTAAAGTAGTACATTAGAATAGCAACTATCTTGTAGAACTAATAAAAAAAAATAGAGATAAAGAAAACGAAAAAAAAATGCCAGCATTTATGTCCATCCCATGGTATTGAAAACCGGACCGGCCGGGTCAACCCGGAAACCGGTGAACCGGTCCCCTGTCCGGTCTGGGTTTGCTCTTAACCCGGTGAGGGAGTAAACCGGTGTAACCCGATCAACCCGGGGTTCAACCCGGTATAACCCGGATAACCCGGTAGGTTAACTGGGTTAACCGAGTTAATATTTTTTCAGACTTTTACCCCAAAATGACGTCGTTTTTTATTTTTTTTTCATTTTTAATTTTTCAGAGCTCTGAGTTCGGAAAAAAGATAACAAAAAAAAGTGAAATTGAAGTCAAAAAATGAAAAATTAGAGATAGAGCATGCTAAGTCCAAAAATATAGTATTTTATTATTGTTAGACTTTTGAGTGGTTGGATTTGGTTGAATATTTTTATAATTAATGTCTTTTTATTTAAATTGTATTATTTTAATCATGACCGGTTTGCCACCGGTTCAACCCCGGTTCAACCCCGATTGAACCACTAACCCGTGACCCAGTGCCATGACCGGTTTAATGACCGGTCCGGTTTTACGTACCTTGGTCCATCCTCTATAATTGAGGCAAAGGAATTTTGAAAAGGAATTAGTATATTAAAACTTGATAATGACAATTTTATCTCAATCTCCCAAAGTTTTCTCTAGCAAAGAAAACTTTGTTTTATCATGCAATGCAAAACAGTAAAAACAGCAACTCACCAAAGAATTGTATCATAGCACTTTTCTGATGAATGATGACTCTTAACAATGTTATCTCTTTGGAATGAGACAACATCAAACAGATTTCTGTCCTCCAGATTTCTGTTATCCATAGATGAAGGTTCTCTTGAAACCTCTTTTGGCTCTTCACTAGATGAAACAGCAACACTCTGTTCTAAATTACCATCAGGATGGTACTCAACTCTTAGCTTTGAAGCGTTTGCAGGTTTCTTTCCAGAAGATTCCAATTTGACTGCTTTTCTCAGATTCCAGTATGCATCCTGAACCAGATCTGGCAGATTGGAAAAGCAAAATAACATAAACTAAACACTTTTTGATGCTATCTGATTTGATTGTGCGAACACTAAGAACTTCAAGCTACCTCTTGATAAATTTATGAATCAAATTAATGTATATTACTTCATTAAGTTCCTATCAAGCATCCAAACTGGAATCTAAAATTGCCAGTTTATTTTTCATATTTGTTAGAATAAGTTCAAGCTTTTGAGGCTCAAAAGCTACTTGACGAAAAGAGCAATGCAAATCATTTTCATGTTCGTGCTCAAAAAGCAGGACTACAAGGATGTGCCACCAAAAGCTTGAGTTGGCCAAATGAGTCCGGTGCCACAAATAGATATAAATTATAAAGAATTAGCTTCTGCATTTGATGTTCTCATTTTGAATGTATGTGACAACCATGTAACAAACTCACAATCAAAGTTCATTTCAAACTTAAAGTACAGAATTAAGGAACAAACATAAAGATTGATAAGAATCTTACTAGAATCAATGTCAATTCCAAGAATGCTTCGGCAGAGAAACTTCTTTGCTGAGGGGAAAAAGATAATATTTAGTACATGACAATATTGCATCAGAAATGAAGAGTTCATGCAAACGTAAGTTTTAACAGCTCAAATTTGAAAAAACAATCACATTCCATGCCTACATTAAAACAAAGGCAAAGCAGCGTCCACTTTCACCAACATTACTGCATCAGTTAATATTATCCTCACAATCCAATAATTGCAAATTATTTTTCCTTGAAACTATTATATCCTTATTCCAGCTAAAAATCTAGCAAGTAAAATTTAAAGTGTCACTAATTCAAATCGCCATCATGGTCATATAAAATTCAAGTTGACAGGGGCCAATTACAGCAGTTACTGAAAGTAAAAATAAAAACTGTGCCTTATAAGCAAAAAGATAATAACCATTGAGCAGAAAGCATGTTTTACCTCAATAATGGTTTTAACAAACATATAATAAACCACCAATTTTATCTGTTTTTTAATGATTAAATTCCTCTGGCGCTGGCTGTTATCATGACAATCAATAACAAAAACAACTGTGCTTTTCATGCCAATAGTGACATGATCATGTGGTCTAGACTTCAATTTAACATTATAGTGCACAAATATATCTTTTAAGGAGTACAGACAAGGGTTGATTGGATTTACCTAAAAGTTTGGTATCAAGTTAGTCAGTAAAAAAATAACGCGGAATTGTGGATAATACAAATAACCCAGGAGATACATCCAAGTTATTTTTGCTTTATTGCTTTATAAACATATGTATAAGCAAAAAACATAATAAAATGAATGAAAACCAGTCATAAATTACATTAAAATAAAAGTCCTGCTTCAGTTATGTCACCTAGGTGTAGTCACTACATCAAACAGGCCTACTTAAACATTAAGCTAATCAACCTTTCGAACCTTTGTGGGGGAACTGCAAAAAGATTCCAAAATTGTTTCAATTTCAATAATAATCTTGTTGATGATTAACATAACAAGTAACTGCATTCCAAGCAAGGACATGGATTTTAATGTGCCAAATCTCAAGCACTAAAAAAAGTAGGAAATTATTACCGATTTGGATGGTTATTCTTCCATTGTTGCAGCCAATATCAAGGCAATCTTTGCCCTCAAACCATTCCTTCCTGAAGACTTTCAACCGGGGATCTTCATCTAGGCCTTGACCTATCTGAAACATTAATAGTAGTAAGCATCAAAATCAATATACCATGAACACAAAAAGAAGGTAACCTAAAATCCAACGGGCACTCCTATTATCAAGGCATAGTACAAATGTGACTAGAGATAGTATAGTCTAAGACCGAGTGACACAAGGATGGAAGTGTATGAGCCTACTTCCTTTCTTTACAGCTGTTCATTTTTTTTTTCCCTCTGTATAGGCAGGGATGTACCAAAATCGGCTCAAAATGATGCAATAAAACGTTGATGAAGTATGATGAGCCACGAAATAAAACAAAAGTCGCAATTTTGACTGAGTAAATTTGACTTAGGAATACCAAAATTATTTGGAATATAGAACAATAACGGCTGCATTTTCTCCAGAAACATCAATAAGAATTTAAAGGACATGCATGTATGCAGCCCGCGTGATGTTATATATATATATATATATATTTTAAGTTTTGACATGTCCAGTGCTCAAGTGAGAGATCAGCGCTTCGAAGAGATAACCCATATTCCAAGCAACCAAACAAAACGATAGGAAGCGTTCGACTTGAACCAGTTTTAATAGTTGAAAATTATTGTGTAATCATTACATATAAACGCGAAAATAAATAAGTGGATGACGATGGACAATGGTGCTAAACTTTGGAACTCCAATTTTCCAAAGCTTCTAGCAAAAAGAAACTCGCATGAAGTAGAAGGAAGCGAAGATTAAGGAAAGAAGATTACTCGATAGCCATAGTAATTCCTGTAATTGCCATAGGGAAAGACTTCCTTACGCTTTTTGCTGCTGGTTTTCGCTGCGTTATGGCTTTGATTTTCATCTTCGCCCTTCACATTACGCTTTTTGTTATTATTTTTGGCCGGGTTTCGGCTTTCATTTTCGTCTTTGCCCTTCGCATGATTCTCCATTAGCTCCCTCTTCCTCTTTCCTCCTGGAAGCAACTCTGTATGAGAGCCTGAGGAGAAAATTTTAGGGTTTTGACGGAAATAGAAAAAAGCCGCTGACACTGTAAATTAGGAGAGAATTTTAATAAAGGTGCTAGCCACATTTATTTAAATTTAAATTTTTAAAATTTTTAAAATTTAATTAGTATTAATTTAATATTAAATTTTTGAAAAAAGAGAAAATTATTCATCCTCAAAATTAATATTAAAATTGCTCTACTTCAATAATTAATTGCTTTATTTTATATATTTATTTACATACTAAATATTATCAATTACTTATTTCATTTATTTATTTATTTAAAATAAAATTAAATAAAAATCTAACAATAAATAAGTAAAGTTGGATAATGAAAATAATCTATAAGTAAATGAACAATATATAATATATAAATAAATAAGTTATCTTAAAATAATTTAAACACTTAAAATAAAAATAAGTAAAATAGTTAATAACATTTTATAAAAAAATTAATAAATAAATTAGGATAATTAATAAATAAAATATAAAAATTTAATTTTAATTTAAATAAAAAATAATTTTTTTATTTTTATTAAAAATTTAATATTAAATTAATATTCTCGCAATATAATTTTAAAAAATATATGATCTTTGAATTTAAATAAGTCAAATCAGATGGTCTTTATTAAAAGGGTTAAGGACAATCACTTAAACTGTATGTAAAAGTTTTAATTAAAGATTAATTTTATTTTTCAACTTTTAAAATTTTTTATTTTATTACCCTATCATTCTGCTGTTCATTTTATCACTCCGTGGAGTCTATATTTAAATTTTTTAATATTTTTTATTATTAAATATGTAAGGATCCCATCAATTATTTTTTAATATTTTTCTCTCTCTCTCTCTCCCTCCCTCCCTCCCTCCGTCTCCTCCCCCTCCCCCCCTCTGGTGAAATTCCTTGCACGAAAGCTCATTCACTGACACCAGTCTCAGCACCGTCTCCTTCCTCCAGATCTGTAACTTACATCGTCTGATATTTGTGCGGTTTATGCGTTGTTCAACTTCCAGAAGTACGCATACGATGTGGCGGAGGTGACCAAGGCAAATTATGATTCTTGCACTGTCTCTTCTTCTTCTTCTTCTTCTTCTTCGCCAACTCCTCCTCTATCATCACTGCAACTACTCCTCCTCCTCTATCTTCCTATAGTTCGGCTCATGGGGCATAAATTAATGTCATAGCGAATTCAAGGAGTCGTCTACGTGCATGCAAGGCAGGGGACTCACTCATCAAGTGTGCATGCATGGCAGAAAGAGGTTCCACTCCTCTCTCCTTAATTCCTTTGGAAGCTCATCAAGCATGCATGCAAGCCACGGGACTCATTGCTGTTCCACTACTTAGGGCACAGATCAAGGATTGAGGATGACAAAATGCTCTTGGCAGGTTTCTTTCTCCTAGAACCAAACTCCATGCCTTCATTGCCTTTATCGAGTGATATGCTTGCACTCAGGTTGGCGTTCTTATCTTTCACTCCCCTAATTGTGACAATTATATCCAACTCTAACAGGATGGCGTTCGTTCATGGAACAGGGTGTTGTTGTCATCACGTGGGATGTCGTTGGCCATCGACATGTTGTTCTTCATCAACTTGGGTCTTGTTCTCCCCTGTTTTTTATGTTAGAAACAGAGATGGTGTTTCATAAATACCCATAGTGACTTGTTTATAACTACGAGGACTAAACTGAGTAGTAGCTTTATAGCAGTCTTGACGACGAACACTTGAAAGATTAAGAAGAAGAAGAAGCCATTGATGACGATGAAGACTGATTCTTATAATACTGAACATTGCTCTCATCCATCTTTTCCGATATGTAATGCCCCAAAGTCTCACTTTCACCCACCAGATTCTGCTTACACAGAAACTCATTCCCATACAACTTCTCCACCTCTCCACTAAAGTCATGCACAAACACTTGTGTCTTCGAATTCCTGACCTTCTTGCTTCTACCCAGCACGCCCGCCGTGAACATCGCCGCCATCCTTCCTGGCGCGTCAGGCCAATTACCATGTGGTCTGTCCAACAATATCACATCGCAGATCAGCTCGTACACATGGTTTAGGAGGTCATTGAGTCCTAACTTACATTCTGAGAATAGCAAGTTCTGTGCTGATTTACGCTCCTTTATTACCTATTCTCTCGTTACGACTGCTCCGATGTCCTTAGCATGCTCTCAAGAAGCCACCCGCGTGAATGCATGTATGATCAAGGGGAAAAAGTGCAAGTGTGCGTGGGTGAGAGAGAGTGGGGGGGGGTGAAGGAGACGCAATGAGGAAAGAGAGAGATGATATTTTTTAGGTTTGATGCTTAATAGCTAAGTCAGGGATGGCTTTGGAAAATTTTCTTCTCTGCTTTGAAGGTTGTTGATGGATGAGGTTCTCTTCATTCCACATGAGCGCGCGAGAAGAGAGGATGATGGGTGTGTGAGGAAGGATACGGATCATATGCAGTGGAAAACCATGCAGTGGATGGCAAGTAAAAAAATCCTGACAAAGAATGTTTATCTAATGGCTAGTAAAAAAATGGATGTATAAAAATGTTTCTCATTTACAAACATACAATCACGTTTTATTTAAAAAATTTATAAAAAATATAATATTTTTAATAAATTTATTAATTACTAATTTAGACAATACAAATTTTATTTAAATAATCCAGTTTAATATTAATTTTTTTATAAATTGACTATTAAGATGTATTTTGATATTTTATAGTTAATATTAAAATTTTTATAATCTTTATAATTTTTTATTTTGATAAATACAATATTAAAAATAAAGATAATATTTCCAGCACTTTTCAAAAAATATTTTTTTGAAAAAATTATAAGTTAAAAATTTTAAATATGAACCAAAATCAAATCTGAACTATTCAAAATATATTTAGATAGTTAATTTATAAAAAATTAATATTAACTAAACTATCTAGATTGAATTTATATTATCTAAATTATTGAATTAGTGATTAATAGACTTATTAAAAGTATTATATCTTTTTAAAAATTTTATTTTTGATAAAACGTGATTGTGTGTGTGCAAATGAGGAATTTTTTTATACACTTATTTTTTATTGGTCATCAAATAAAAATTCATGATCAGGATTTTCTACTTCCCATCCACTGCACGTTTCCACTGCATATGATCCGTATTTGTGTGAGGAAAGGGGGAGATGGCAGACAGAGAGAAAAAGTTAGGAGAAGGGAGAGAGAGGAGGGAAGGAGATGCCGGGGAGCAAGAGGGAACGAATGGGAGAGAGAGAGGAGAGAGGGAGAGAGGTATTTTTATATCATAAAAAATGGTGGAAACTACTAAAAAAATTTATATGTGAAGCTCACGTAACAGCAAAATTTGGAGAGTTAACACCGGGGACAAGGCAGCAATAAATTTGTAAGTTAAGGAATAAAATTGATTTTAAATTAAATTTAAAATCTTTATTGACCATTCACATGCAATTGAAGAATAAAAATAACATTTAACCCTTATTGAAATTCTCATGTGCGAATACTCAAATAGTCAATTGAGCAAAAAAGAAGTCAATTGAGCAACAAAAGATGACAGAATTTTTAACTTTATTAAATCAGTATTAGTATTTATTATTCATTTTAACTTTATTAAATTAAAAGATTAAAGTATTTGAATAAATTAATCGGCGGACATTTTTTAGGACAAAATTTATGTTTCTATTTTTAGAGCCAAACATTCGAGGGAATAAGCTGCTGCTTCCCTTTCTTTGGCCAGAGAATAAACTTCTTATTCAATAAATCAATAATCATATTAATTCCACCATTAATTATTTATTAATTATAATATAATTTATAAGAATGCACATTATTTATATGAGGAGTGATTTATATGAAGAGTGTGGTTTATTTCACAGATTTCATGCAATAGATAAAATTATTTAACATGTAAATTATTTTCATATAATTTGTTTATCGCCAAGCCTTTTCTTAAAAAGGGGAAAAAATTGTTTGTGTGCGATAAAAAGTCTTATTATAGTAATGTATAAAGGATATATAGTTTTTTTTTCACCAATTTATCAATGATACATTATACTAAACGTATGTAAGATTTTTTTTTTTTATTTTATGATGGTTTAAGTTTTAACTCCCAGGCCTCTCACCACCATTCCAAAGTCCAAACCCCACTCTTGCTGTGTGGACATTAAGACAAAATCGCTAGCAAAATAATTTTTTCCTCCTCATCATTGGGATTCCTATTCCTAAACAGGTGCGTGCCGGGCTTTGATGTTAATTATAAAATTTTTGGTTTTTTTAATAACAATGGAAATTATTATGCAACAGTGTAAATAAAAATCCAGCAACACGGGAAGGCACCTGCTTAGCAAGCATGTCAAAAATTTCATTGGCGTCGAGCAAAATCTTCTGAACAACCACAATCCAATCAGGATTTTATGTCAACAACTTTTTGGCATTACAACTACACGTAATTTCATCTTTTTTTACAAGCACGCACTTTCATTAATAACATATTTTTTTGAGCAAATATAACCTATTTTATGAATGTGTAAACTGCGCATAGTTATAAATACAAAACTGCGAACCAATGAAAACGAAAACAGCTGAAATTATGAATGCGGTACAGAGAATTGCGTCTCAAACTTGCTTCATCATATCAAGCTTTATTACCCTAGTCAACAGTTCCTCCTCCTTCGCTTCTTTTTTTTTTTTTTTGGGACAACAATAAATCATATTATCTACAAAATCGGAATTGAGTATGATACATTCTCTTGATCACGGCGACAGCTTCAATAAAGAAACGGTCTTCGCGAGTGATTTGACTTCAGCTTCCCAGGATTGCTGCAATAGCGGTTTTAAACACACACTACTCCAATTCCTTGAGAAAATCGACATTATCTACAAACACCTGTCAAGTGGAGGTAAAAACCAAGTCACAACTCACAGGCTAATATTTATATTAAACAATAAATGGAAGACCATAACTTTAGGTTCATGTACTTTGCCTGCATTTTCTATTGGTTCCTGTACTTTTTTTCCGGTGTTTTTAGTCCCTGTATTTTTTGTTTTCATTGTTTTAAATCCCTCTAAGATTCATATACTTTGTTCATGAAAAGACCTAAAACATTGAAAAATAAAAGTATAGAGACCAAAAATTAAAAAAAAAATTACAAAGACCAATAACAAAACTCGAACAAAGTATAGGAGCTTAAAGTTATGTTTTCGCAAAACAAATGAAAGATTGTTAACATTTCTACCACAAAAATGAACAGATGGTGCAAAAATGCATGCCGTTTGAGGAGCCAGGGAGCAAGTGTTGTTTCAGGGACCAAATGCAGGAAGATGGACAGATACATTGAGAAGATAAAGTTTCACCAGTTTCTAAAGTAGTAAGCATGGAGCCACACGCCACTCAAACGCAGCAAATTACCATTTTTATTTTTTTTAGAGTACCAACTCTGAAGCCTTACATTTACATCTCCAACTTCGAAGGCGAGAGAAATTACAGTACTATGAGAACTGTATCAGCATGTGGACGGTTCAGTATCTATGGGGTCATTCTGCAGGCTCTGATGACCTTAGTCACTTGAATGAATTCTACAACTTTGGTAAAGATGACAACAGGGTTTGAGAATAATGTGCATATTGGTTGTCTAATTGCATCTAAAGGTGCATACATGCGGGCTGACCATTTATCAACAGTAAAGTTGAAGCCTTAGATTCGTCAACAAAAAAATATTTGCACTTGCTTCTAAATCGTTTTCAGAGGGAGCTAACGACAATTTACTTGGCGTTGTTATATAAAAAAGACCCCTGGCTCCCACATACACCAGAAGACAGAAGGCAGACTTTTCATTTAGTGGCACCCAGGCCAATGATCACAGGTATAATATAGCAAGACAGCATTGATCTTCCAAGAATAATCTTGACCGATATAGCATGTATCCTAGTTGTCATAACCACCACAATACCCCCGGTAAAGTCATTCCATGACAGAACAAAAATGATGAAAGACAGAATTCATGTCGCAAAACCCCCTTTTTTAAAGGGTTAATATACAATTTGAACCCTGAACTTTAAGTTCAGGAGCGATTTAGACTCTAAATTGTTAAAAGATACATTTTGAACCCTAAATAATTAAAGTTGGGGCAATTTCGCCCCCACTATTAAATTTCAACAAACGTCTATTAGTTTTTTAAAAATTGGGGCCTAATGTGCGATTTTCACCAAATTCCACTATCCCTCCCTCTCTCTCTCTTTCCCCCCCTCATTTGGTGAAAATCACACATTAGGTCCCATTTTGATGGATGTTTGTTAAAATTTAACGGTAAGAGCAAAATTGCCCCAACATTAATTGTTTAGGGTTCATAATGTACCTTTAAAAAGTTTAAAGTTCAAATCCTCTTTGAACCTATGGTTCAAAGTTCAAATTGTATAATAACCTTTTTTTAAATCATGTCACAATACCTATATCAATATCAAGATATTTTTCATAAATCTTCAAGTACTACCCCTTTGGCAAGTGTGTGTACCATGATACTATCAACTCTATCATAATAAATTTTTCAAGTGAAAAATTCCATAGATCCACAAAATTCCAGAAGCATACCGCCTTCCAACCATCAGGATCCAAGCATGCTGTAATTTTTGTGTTGATCCCAGGTAATGGTCCAGGTTCCCGCGTAATCTTTCCTCCAGCAAGTTTAATGGCTTCTGCAGTTTTGTAGACATCATCGGTGCCTATTGCAATCTGCAAAGGGTAAGCATCGAAGAAAAGAATTAAACAAGAGAAAGGATTGTCTAACAGGTGTTAAGAAACTTTGATGAAGAAGCACAATGTAGTTGATTTTTCAAAGAAAACCCTGCATCAAAACTACATCTGCTTCAGTTAAGACAGAAACAAAATCTAAATATCACAAGCAAGCAATAGAAACCTCAGCAGAAGTTTTAAAAGGATATAAAGAATTGAGATAGATGAACTTCTGTCTACCTGAGCATAAGCATTTCCTTTGCCATATTCAGTGACTCCATAGTTGTAAGTCAACTCCATAACAGCACTTTTATCTTCAGGACCATAACCAAGCATGGCTATGGTGTACTATCAAAAGAAAAGGGTAATCAAAGGATCAACATTAAAGAAAGGGAAACTACATGCCCAGAGTACTAAGTAAGGTGACAATGAACTTTTCTGGAGTCATAAAAACAATCAAGATGGGACCTCAGAATTGTGAATACATCTCAAGATCTGAAACCGCAGTTCAGCATACAAAAATATTCAAATCAGATATAAATCAGAACATAACAGAAGTAAAGTCCAGCTGTAATTCCAGAGGATTTACATAAAAATGATATCCATAACTACCTCTAATAATAATTCAAAAACAACCAGATGTTCACCGAACAATTTGACTATGTTAAATTGATTGCCGCCTTCTCTAATGTAAGACGTTTGTATAGTTAAATGCAAGAGAGAATTTGGCATTTGGATAAACAAGAATTAAGATCAGTCTTCCATTCCACTTTAGGTTTTGATTCAATATTATCTGTATGTGGACCAAATAATTAGCCAAAGGGTAAAGTAGCATATTTTGTGAGAATCAATAAATAAAAAAGACATAGTCAAGCATAATTAAAAAGAAAATAAAATGCATAAATATTGATACATAACAGTGCAATTGCAGGACAATTTCCTTCAAGGAAAAATCATATCTCAGCAGGTCAAGTCATTTCCTTCTTTTGATTTATTCAAACAATGACCTATCTCTTCCCCTCAAGCCTACTTTTTCTGTGCAGGTGATATGTTATTAGTTACTGTAGTGTGGGAAAAATCCTGATATTACCCTGAATAATAAGATCTAATCTGCTGAGTACTAAGCACTTTATTGTGAGGGGAGCTGCCATTCAACATGCATAAAAGAACATTGTACCTTATACTCCGGGTTATCTCGTGTCCGAAGAAGCTCCATTCCAAAAGCCTAAATGGCAACAACCACCAAAATTACTTAACACAAGGTAATATAAACAGTAAGACCATAAGCAACCATCAAAATAGCATTGACCCGCACCTTCTCATAAAATTCAATGGATCGTTGAAGATCACCCACTCGAAGCATTACTTGGCACAAAGGCTCGGGTGTGGGTCCTCTTTCTAAAAGTTCGAATTTATAACCATCAGGATCTTCAATAAATGCAATTACTGTCTTGCCTCCCTTGACAGGACCAGGCTCTCTAGTTATTTTGCCACCCTTGGCCCGTACGAGCTCCACTGTTTTTGCAACCTAGTATAATTTCCATTGAAGATGTTAATTCAAAGCATCAATAGAGAAGAAATTTTAACGAGTCAATGAACAAAACTGGGCCTCCAATCCCATGCCACATCCTCCGAAAGAGCAGAAAGAAAAAAAAGTGAGTTATAGACTAGGTAAAATGCATATTTAAGAGTAAAGAATAAAGGGAACTCCGGAACTGCCAGAAAAGAAAACAGTAAGATAATGCAAAGATGTTTCATAAAGGATAGTAATGGGTGCAAAAGTTCAGCAAACTTACATCCTCAACAGCAATACCAAAATGACCAAATCCAGTTCCAATATCATACTTGTCAACTCCATAATCTGAAATATTTGTAAATGAGATGAATATAAACTGGAAGGTTTCTACTGCACGGGCTTATATAATTGACATCAAAAAGTGCGAGCTGCAATATGACAGGTTGTTAAGAAGTTCTGGCCTTTGCATCTTAAGAGGAGATCAAGAACTTAGTCAGACACTCACTGTATGTCAGTTCAATAACAAAGTGTGAATCTTCAGGACCATATCCAAGAAAAGCATTGGTATATCTCTCCTCTGGTATGTCACGCTTCCTCAGTAGCTTCATTCCCAGGCATTCTGTATAAAATCTGGAATACGAAGCATTTTCTCTGTCAAAAACTTATTCCACAATTCGGTTCTATTGAAGACTAGATTAGATTCTAGAGATAAGGAGTTTGTATATCATTTGAACATACTTTATGGTTCTGTCCAAGTCACCAACACGATAAACGACATGAAGCATTCTACGCTTGTCTTGCTTGACCCACTCAAGTACATTTTCTGGAGAAGCAGCTGTGCTTGCCTGGCACACAATCCCAGTTGCTATCAGTCCCATGCAGTTGCCATCTCGTCTCAAAAGCCTGGGTGCTTTCAGGCCAAAACTATGGGACTGAGGATTAGCTGGGCAACCCACAACAATTTCAGTTCACTCAATTAATTAAAGTGTAGAATATAATCTATTATCAATATCAATGTAATATAAAGTACTGTCTCAGAGCAAAGTTTTCAAAGCTGCAACATAAGATTCTACTCTCCTCAATATGCAGGTCATTGGCACTGAAGAAAAATACACAATTAAAATGGATGTACTTAGAAAAAAAGGAAGATACAACCTTTTTTTTTATACAAAAAAAAAAAAAAAAGGAAACATGAATTGCCTGGTCCACGACAGTTTTACAAAAGACTGCCACTTGTCAGATGAGTGTATTTCAAAACATCTGAAGCCTCAAAATAGTTTAATTTGAAATACCAAAATGCAATTAAACAAAGCTTTCCGGACTTCAGCGAGCCAGTGAACAGTAGCGCCAATTCCTACACCTATGAAAGAACAATATCTGACACTTCGGCACAAATCAAGGCCAGTAATCGGAAAAAGAAGACAATGAAATGGTTGGGGACAATTAAGTCTAGTCGACTACTTGCAATTGAAAAACAAGGAAGTGATGCGTGTACGGGAGATCAGTCCTACGCAATAATCATGCAGGCAAATAATTTCACTCATGATTGAAGAATAGCCTTGACATAAATCTAATCATAGCCGTATAAATATCCAACTCTATTTCTTCCCATAGCTCACAATAATAAACTCCCATGAAAGCTCTGTGCTAGATTTAAAAGAAAGAGCCACCAATTATTCTTAACGTGAAACTGCCAACTTGTAATAAAACTTGCCAGGTCTCCGAGTTCACCCATACCATAAGTAGCCAGAAAACGCATCAAACTGCAAATTAGTCGTTTGGTAACAAAGATGTACGGACCAAATGAAACTTCAATCGCAATGTGATTTAATACTCGGCCAAGATAACGAAACTCAAGCAAAAAAGGACACTGTGAAATCTGAAAAGGGTCAGAGGAGGGGGAGTGAGAGAGCTTACCGTTGCCAAGGTGAGAGAAGGAGAGACGCCGAGAAGGGCCATGGGAAGAGAGGGAAGGGAAGAAACGATGACCACCGATTAATCTGAAGGACGAGAGAGAAGGTCGAATCGAAGACGCCATGGGAATTACTCTCACCATCTCTCGGCCTCTGTGCGTATCAGGGATAACTCCGTAGTTGAAGAAGCGAAGCCTAAAGTGGGATCGATAAGCCCCACTTCCTACTAAAGTTCTTTTCTTCCTTTTCCGCCTAGGGATGTGAGGAGAATAAAGAATTTTTCCTTTAGGTCATGTAACAAACTAGTAAGATGTTATGATCATGAACTAGGGGCTGTGTGGATTCGATTGCCGTGCGATCCAACGTGTCGGTGTTTCACATTTGGCTACAGTCCCCTTTGTTTGTTTGTGCCGCGGATGTTCTCGTCGCGTCCCTCGCCTGCCTCTTCGGCTCTTCTAGGCCTCTCTCCATATAATTTCTTCGCTTTTTCTTTTAAAGGCATTATTCCGTATCATTAACATTTGACAATATGAGCGCTAGACACGGATTGAAAAATCATATCATCGCGTATATTGTAAAGTACTGTTGAATTCTACAAGTTATTATTTTTTGGAGTAAAAGGGAATTTCACTGAATACACAAAAACTGTACACAAACCAGGAAAGAACGGTAGACAAATTACGTCAAGGACTTGAAAGTAAAAAAGGCTTTGAGTGTATTGTTGACAGTGGCTCTTATCTATGTAAGAAGAGAGTCCACCGTAAACTCAGCATCAGTGAAAATGCGAAGGTTTCTTGTTTCCCAAAGGTTCCAGTAGACAACAGTTACCCCAACGAGGTATCCAATCGTGGAGAATTAATGAGGCTAAGCACCCAACTATCAATAATGGCCTTGGAAAAATCTTTGTAAATATCACTGGGCAGAACCTTTCTCCAGACATTTGCAGAGAAGGGGCATTCCTTGAGGGATATGATTGATGCTTTCAGTAGCAGAGGAAATGTTGCAGAGGGTGCATCTCGGGTCTTAGCTCATCTTCCTCCTAAATATCTACAAATTATTTTTTAAAATTATAAGTTTTGAAAGGAGTTAGTGGGATCTATCATGGGGAAAAAAATAGGTGTGAAACCTGTAACAAAAAAAAAAATGTGTGGACCCTGTAGTAAAAAAATCATGGTATAGGTGAGAGTGAGTAAAAAATGATAGATGTGAGATTTGCAATGAAATTATAAATTTAATTTAGGCAAAGTATAAAAAAATTATATTTTGAAATATCATGGAAGACTCAATGGAAAATGACGATGCATATAAGATTTAGGTGAAAAATAATAGGGGTTGGGCATGCAATGAAATTATAAATTTAATTTGCATGAAGTATAAAAAATCAGTATTTAACTAAATGATTTTTTAATTTTTAATTTACGTGAGGATGACACATCTTAAAAAAAAAATTATATTTTGAGTAAAATGCAATGACTATCCATTCTAAAGAAAGTTCCTCCAGGTTATAAAAATTGAAGAGATGTATGCCTATTATGCTTGCAATTAGAAATTGTTCTTTAAGTTTTAGTTTACCTCAGACAACATATTTTAAAATAAAATAAAATAATTTATTATTTATATTTTTAATATGTATAGGCATAACAAGTTTTAAAGCAGAATAAATTATCATTTAATTTTTAATTAACATAAAATAATAAAATATAAGTACTCTGGAATAATTGTGAAGTTTCATATTTAAATTTGTTTTTATCTCTTAAATAATGAAACATCCCGTGCATTACACGGAGAATAAATCTAGTTTGTTAAATTATTGGCGAGAAAATAAAAGGAAAATTTGCCAAAAAGTTATTATATAATCGGTTGCCAAAAAAGAGGGAAATAAAATTGATTGAAAAAATAAAACAAAAAATAAATAAATCACTCATATTCTTACAATAAGCATGACAAAACTTAATATTATTTATTACAAATGTTAAAATTATCACACCTTTTAAAAATTTTATAAATTATTACTTCCAACTTTCAAGTACTCATAAACTAAATTATCTTTGCTTCTTCTAAGTCTTATTCACCTATTCTTCTCCTCATTTTGATCATCTCAATTTTATTTTATTTTTTCAATCCATTTTTTTTAACAAAAAGGACCATATATGATTGACATTGCCTATATAATATAGGGAAAAATTTATAAATTTATTTTTATATGCTTAAAATCCTTGTTTTCAATTAAATCAAAACAAGTGTATCTATTATAAATTACTTATTCTATAATAAATTCTTGTTATTAGTGTTATTAGCAATTAAAATTCATATGTTATGAATTAATTGAATGATAGTATATTAAGTATATAAAATAAATATATAAATATTACCCTATAATATATATATTCCAATGTATTGTATTGGGCTTTATAATTGAGTCATTTTTTATGAATTATAAATAATAAAAGCTACAATAAATTGTATATATATGTATATATCGATGTTGGTCCTTTTCTGTCATGATTTTAAAAATTTAAGTGAGTCAAATCAAATATTTACTATAGTCCAAGGGCATAACAAACTCTCCCACTTAGAGAGTGTTTGTGTTGTGGGTTTTGCATGATGCCGATTTATAGGCGCACCATTGCCTTTAAAATTGAAAGAGAAAGTATATTTGTAGGTCATTATAATTTTTTTTAAATTTTAGATTAGCTCTTTGTAAATTATTTTATTTTAATTGAGTCCATAGAACTTGATTAATTAAATTATTTAACACTTGAAAACCAAAATCCTTGAATTTTTCTTTAAAAAATAAAATAAATAACTTTTATATTTTTATTAAATAATTATATAACTTTAAAATTACTCACATAATCAGGTTGTCTTTTATATATTTTTTCTACTTATATAATTTTCATAAAAAATTAATAAAAATATAAACAGCATATTAAATTAATTTTTTTACTTTGACTGAAAATATTAATTAAATTTTCAATAAAATTTAAAAGTATTTTTTTAAAAAAATAAATAATTTATTATTAATTTAAACCCTCAAAGATTAACATATTTAATAGATTAAATTATAAGAGTTTGATTAAAATGAAATAAATAATAAAGACTTAATTTGAAGTTGAGAAAAATTATAAAGACTTATAGATTAATTCTCCCAAATTTAAATATCATCATCAAGTGACATGCTATATGTGGGCGTTTACATGGCTACGTGTAATATAATGCACGGACGCAGGAGATCTAACTTTTTTTATATATAATTTATCTAATTAAGTCAATCTCGAGCATTTTCTGGCTCCTTTATTGTCGTCTAAATTGACGCTTCAAATGTCATGGATTAAGCCCCGCCGTGACTTCCAATCAAAATTCGAGAGATCAAATTGGGCTTTTCTATTGGGTATCAAACAGACAGATTTATGCCGCCCAAGCTTGTTTGAGTTTCCTTTATGCATGGCCCAATTGTTTACCGGGTGAGGACTGACAAGATATTGGGCGGTTCATTGGTCATGACTCATGTCACTTCATATTATTTTGCTTCGCACGCAAAAAGCTGAAAAGAACCTTTGGAGTTGTCCGAAACTATTTTTATTTTATTATTTTAAAAATTAATATTTTATAAAACATGTTTTGAAAATAAAAAATAATAAATATATATTTTTATATTATCCATTATTTTTTAGAACAATAATCTGAAAATATTTAGAAGATGTTTTTTGTTTTTTATTTTTGAAAATAATATTTGATTTTTTTCCTTTAAAAATATTTTATAAAAACACATTATCAAACAATTTTTAAATTTTCTTTTTTAGAACATAAAGCTGTTCTCAAAACCAGTTGTCAAACAAGCTTTTTGTTACTACCAACTTCTTTTCTAAACTACTATAGCATCGTCACCGTTATCCTACATTCTTTTATCTTCCTGGTTATATTATTTGTTGAGAACATAAAATTAATAAATTACATTGCTATCAATAAAAAATAAAGGGTATTGACTGATATTTTTCTGGTTAAAGGAAGGCCTCACATTTAAAATACTTGTCCCTACATTTTGGAACATAAAATTAAAAGAATTAAAGTGATTTTCCAATTTTTTTTTCAAAAAACTGTTTTTCAGAATATTAGAGACCAAGTGAAAATTATAAGAACTAATTTGCTCTAGGTTAGTTTGAATCAAATCAAAAAGTATAAGGAGTTTTAACTAAAACGAAGTTATGGTGATCAAATGATTTGGTTTTTTTAAAAAAAAAAAATCTATAGATTGGCAGGAAGAAATGACACCTGATGATGATTGATCCATGGATGTTATATCTTTTTCTGAATGCATACAAAAGAGTTAGTAAACGGAAAAACACAAACGCATGAATACAAGCCAGAACCAAATGAGGAGGCACTCGGGCTACGTCTAACATGATAACTAGAGATAATCAAAACCACTTTGTGGGGGCATCCGGATCTGGTGTGAGTTCTTATGGTATGGATATGTACCATACAAGTCCCATTTCAAGCTTTGGGGTAAAGCTTAGACAGCCTCCATGATTGACAATTTAACCATTTTTCTATATTCTAATCTATGTAACGTAAATAAATGTTTTAAGCCCAGAAAGACATGAACGGTCCAGCAAAGAGGCCTTAACGGGGCCACAATTCAAGAAACGTGCATCGTGTTTAAGTGTCATTGGAGCATCAATCAATCATTATTATAAGTGCTAAAATATATTTTTGTCCTTACCCTTGCCTTGATGAATGCTAGCTCACGGCAGAAAATTTTTGCTCTCCTAAAAAATATTTTGAAAAAAATATTTCACTTGTTAATTTAAATATCCAAGTATTTTTTGAAAGAAAATATAAGATAAAAATACACTTTAACTCTTATTATAAACACCAATTACTCACAAATTCTAGTCAACCAAGTACAATTTATTTTTTTTTTTCAAAGAGGACCTATGATTCCCCCAGCATTTATCACTCAATTCAAATTATTTTTTTCGCAAATTTTTCGTTATGTACTTTGTGCTCCAAGTGAGCATGATTCACCACGCTTGTATGTATTTTAATGACTATTAATTCAATTTGTTTTTGCCGTAACGAGACCGCATCTTAGCATATGGGAAAACTATAGCAAGAAATCATGGGAGCATGTTTTGTTGGATAGAAATAATCAGAATAAGGGTGAAGCTGTTCTAAGTTTCTTGCTAGAAAATCGTTTGTAATATTAAAATTCAATTACAAAACTTTGAACGACTGGAATCATAGATCTGAATGATACAACGGCCTGGCTTATCTGTAGTTCAATGGTCACAATTCCCATTTGTGGATTAAATTAAAAGCCTGGCATTGTCACACATTCTGTTATTTAAGGACAGATACATGGAGGCGGAGTAAGCCTCTTTTCTATGGAAATATTAAAAGAAAAGCTAAGCAGAGGAAATGTGCTAAGGAAGTAGCACCCTAGATCCGTTGTGG